TTTGGATTTGTCTATGTTGGCCTTGGAGGGGGGGTGCTAGTTTGGAAAAAATGACACCTCCCCAGACGAACTCCAAGTTGGCGCACTCAGCTAGTATACGCTCGTGGGAAGCGACTAGAGTCGTGTATTCGGTGAATCAGCCCGCAGGGCCCCTCTGCTCTCAGGACTCTCGGGGACGATCGTCCCGTCGTCAGTCTCCCCCACGCCGGGGGGATGACGCTCTTTCTTCTCGGGACCCACAAGGGGTTTCGCGGTTACGGGATTCCCGGGCAGAATTAGCAGCCTCGGATTCCTCGTACGGATGTAGGGGCGGGCTTTCTTGAGGAAGCCTTGTAGGGTGGTTGGTCAATGGATCACCACGGCTTCGTAGAATTTGGAGCCGCGGTGTAGGCCTTGTTCCATGATGTAACGCTTCATGTCGTCTAAAGTTGTCACATGGACTGCCTCCCTCGTGAACCTCTCAATGTAGTTTCTGAGAGACTCGTCTAGGGCCTGGATGATCGCGCCTAGGGCAGCCTTTGTCTTCGAATATCGTCGGGACGCTCTGAAATGTTGCGAGAAGAGATCCTTCAGGATCCTCCACAATGTGACGGATTCAGACTCCATGATTTTTTACCACGCCATGGCTCCTTTCCTTAGGGTCCTTGGGAAGAGCATGCACTTGATGGCTCCTCAGACGTTCCTGTAGTCGAGCATGGTTTCGATGTCTTTCAAGTGGTCGTCCGGGTCCTAGGTGCCGTCGTACGTGGAGAGTGCAAGCGGTTTCTCCATCCTGTAGGGGATGGGGGCTGCCATAATTTCCCGCGACAGGGGGGTTCTGTGGTCATCCTCGTCACTGCGGGCGGGGGAGCGCAAGGGCGACAGATTGCGCCGAAGGGGTTAGTTACGTGCCCTCGACCTCTTTCCCGGGGCTTTCGGTCTGTTTACTCTTATGACCGAGGAACACTTCTCCTTCCGTGGAAGTGATCAGGTGCGCTTCTTGGAGGCCACAGATTTGGGCCTCTCCAGTTGAGGACGGCGCCCCCTTGGTCGGGGAGAGGGGCTCTGGGAGTCTCCAGTTGAGGATGCATTCATTCTGCTGGAACAACACGAGATCGGTTTGGTTGATGACTGTGAAGAGGGTAGTCATCGTCGGGTCTGCTCCTGCTGGTGTGGGAATGGGCTGGAAAATAACTGGTCTCCTCACTCGAGGTTCGACGCGATGTGCTGCATCCTCGAACGAAGGAGAGGCAGTCTGGCCATTCCTGGTGTCACCCTCATGGGCGTGGGATGGCCCTGCCTGGTCGTCGCCATTGGTGATTGGAGCGAAGGCGGAATCGTGGACAGCGTCCTCGTGACGTGGGCTAGTCATGATCTCGAAAGTTGAAGTCGAAAGCTTTGGTTCTTCTGCTCGGAGGAACGAGGAAGCTTTTACTTTCTCACAGACGGCGTCACTGATCGTACCTGACCAGATGAGATTGCCGACTGCCACGCGTCATTGGTCTGGGAGTTGCTCAACAAAGTAGGGAGCAGGAGGGAGGTATACCTGCAAGACACTCTGATGCCAAAACAAGTAAAGGACCAGAGCGAGAGCTAGTACAGAAATTAGGTGTAGAGAATTGAATACCCGACCCTCTAGTGAAAGAGGGTATTTATAGTGAGACCCCAGCGCAGGGTCAACAGTTACTTGTGTATGGCTGGACTGCCAGACCCAACCCAAGTAACTGCTAGGGCTTACGTGGCGTAGTGAAGGTCAGCACTTGGTCTTCACCCTAGTTTAATTGTCCCATGATCTCCGGAAGGTGGGTTGGCCATCTCTTTCAGAAGTGGATAATTGCTTGATGACGTGTCCCCGCGGAGGGGACACGTGGAGAACGTGTAGAAGACGTGTTGTTCTGTCCGGCAGGGGGAGAAGTCTGTCCGATGTGTTTAGAGACGTGCCCGACACTAATTGATTTGGGCCTTTCCCAACTGGCGTTGGGCTGGGCCTGCCCGACGAGCGAGCATGCCTGGCTCTAGTCTAGAACAATTCCATTGTCATTGGTCACATATCATTAGCTAATAAAGACTTTCATGACAAAAACAAGCTATATAATTTGAGATCAGGGTATGATAGTGAAAAATAAAATGAAAAAGACTTGAAGTTTATGAGAAATTTAATGAGATTTTTAGAAAACAAAGTATACATAGGCATATAATAGTTATTTGCACATCTAAACAAAAATGGTTTAGCTAAATGCAGGAAAATGACCATTTCGAAAAGGGTAAGGTGTATGTTGTTGAGAACTATGTTGCCAAAGAGTTTTTGGGGTAAGAGTGTTGCGAAAGAAACTTGCTTGATCGAAAAATGTTCATTCACATGAATAGATTTCAAGATGCCTATGTAAGTTTGGAGTAGGAAATTGGTGGACTACTCTAATTTGAAGGTCTTCAAAGCTTCATTGTTTGTGCATATTAAGGTAGATCAACTTGATACTAGGGATGCAAATTGTGTCTTCATTAGTTATCCAAGAGGTATAAATGATTGCAAGTTGTAGAAGGTGGAGCCTGGAGGATGAAAATTCATTATAAGTAGGTATGCCACTTCCGATGATACCCCTATGGGATGAAATGTAAACACCAGAAGATGAAAGTATTAGAAGTAATTGTGAAGAAGATTTAGTTTTAGGTGGAGGTTCTTCCTAAGGGAGATTAGATATAATGAGGAATTTAAGGTCCGACTTCTAATTCTAGTGAGTCAAAATATGTATTGGCTCTTAATTATCATTTAACTCGTGATAGGATAAGGAGAAAAAATGTACCACTTCAGATATATGAATATGCTGCCCTTATTTGTTATACTTTGGATATGGCAAAATGATTGTAAGACTAACAATCAAATATCTTCAAGGAGGCATTCAAAAGCAATGAGAGTAAAAAGTGGTTGAATACGATGAATGATGAGATACATTCGGAGATGAAGATTCATGCTTGTAAGTTCGTGAGGCTATCTAAGAAACAAATGGTGGTTAGATGCAAGTAGATGCAAATTTTAGATCAAGCTTCAAGCTTGGACTTGAACAAGTTCGTTAAATAATAATTCAATCTTTAAAAAGAACACCAAAATAATTGATGGTTAAATTGAAATCACCATCAATTTTAACTAAGGGGGAGAATTGTGAAAATATGCCTCAAAAACTAAAATGAGTTATTAATTTCTTTTAGTTTTTTAAAACTGTTAGGCCAACATTGAATTAAAAGATTTTGATGTGATCAAATATTATTATTATTATTATTATATTTCACAAAATGCAACGGAAAGAATACTCATAAGGTGAGTAGTTTCCGTGGCTAACTTCTGGCAATGAAAATTTGTTCAAATTGTTCCTAAATGCATATTTTTCAATGGATACCTCGAGGAGCAGTGGCGGAGCCAGACTAAAATGTTTGGGATGAATGAAAATTATAAATAAGTATAAAAATTATGTGATGTCTAAAATGAGGGAGTCATCAAGTCTCACGTTAGTGCATTATTAAATATTGATCTTTTGACTTTATTTATTAATTGAAAAGTTTAAATTTATGATTATATATATATATATATATATATATATATATATATATATATATATATATATATATATATATATATATATATATATATATATATATATATATATATATATATATATATATATATATATATATATGGTCTTCCTAAATATTTTATTTTTATTTTTAGTTCTCTATAAAGAATGGTTTTTCAAAATAAATTATCCACACCTTTGTTCTTTCTTGCAAATTTAGTAACAGTTTTTACAATTTAACGATTGAATTAACGATAATTTATTATTTAACGACTAGATTAAAAACGATTTTAACACGAGGGATAAAAAAATATGGATAAAATTTTTTAGAAATATTATTTTTAAAGGAAATTTTTTAAAAAACTAAATAACTTTTTGCTATAGGTTATAAGATAACAACGACCTTTTGCTATAGATTTGTAGGATAAAAATGACTTTTTAATTTGTCGTTAAAAATTACATTATAATATTTATTTATTAAAATGTGTATCATGAATTTTGTTGTTATATATCTATTTTTGTTATAAATGAACGAAAAATAAACTAAATAAATACAAATCATTACAATTGACAACAAATATAAGACTATTTGAATATATTATAAAAATTAAAAATATTAACAATATAAAATTGTTAACAATCAATATAATTTTTATATTTATCTTTGAAAAGAATATTAATTAATATTTTTATAGAGCTTGTATTATAAAATTAACGAAAAAAAGAGTATGTTACTAGTTAAATTGTAATTAATATAATTTATATGAGAGTGATAGAGCAGTTAGTTTTATTCTAATTTATAGAGAGAAATCACCGTATTATAGTATGTGGGGCCATAATATTGACAATTAATTAGAATTGATTCATTCCAAATATGTATAAATTTAATGAATAGCATTGCCTTTACAGTCTACTATCCAGTCTATATATTTTGTATTTTTTAGAAACCCTGTAATAAGAGATTGATGAGTTCCTCAAACATATTGGTTATTCCATGTGCACAGCAAAGCATGAAGTCTATGTCAAAGGCTTGAATCAAGGCAATTTCTATATATGTGGATGATCTACTCATATTGAGATTGAGAACCTCATACTGCATATGAACACTGAATTTGACAAGCACCCCTATGAAAGCAATCTCCAATTATACAAAGATGAAGATGGCAAGACATTTGAGAATAATCTATACAAGAAAATTTGTCACAATGCTGGTGTGTGTAATAAGAAAATTTGTACAAGAACTTAAATTTTCACATCACATGCAAGCAGGTAAAAGGATCATGAAATATTTATCTTCATACATATTCTGAGTAATAATGGTTTAACCAAGATAAAATGTCATATCTCAGTATACATCAACAAATCCTAACTGAATTATACAATGAGTTTTAACGCAAATACTTGTTGCGTATAATTGCCAATCATATATATGTATGTATTATTACATGATAAAGGCTACGGTGGTGCCTGGGAGGACTTCACCTGATAATAATATTGAGATGCATTGCTACCAGATGCGTTGGACGGAGTGAAACGGAGTGGAATTGAGTTCATAGGTTGTGTTTGAAAGATGGAATTTGATGGAAAGGTAGCTGAAATAGAGAATCCTGATGATGCTGCAGTAGAGAATTGTGGTACTGGGGAAGCAGTCCCCTGACTATTTGCTTGCCATGCCCAGTAAGGAGGTCCTTTTGAAGGATCAATGCCAATTCTCTCTGCTCTTTCCTGCAAAATATTTCAACAACTATATATCAAGTTTTATTATTAATGCACATTGTACACCTCCAAATATATAAATTTATCTACAATTTTAAACGCAATGCAGCATAGAGGGAAACATTGTGCTGATGTTGTGATTGGGTTATTCATTGAAATCTCATATTCCAAATTCAACTCATTTTGTAAAGTGAAGAATGACCCTGTTAAGAGTCCCACATCGGACAATATATGGCATGAACATGTGTTTATTAGTGGGGGCAATCCTCACTCTATAAGCCGGTTTTGTAGAGTTGAGTTAGGTCCAACCACATTTCTTAACACTTTTCCCATTGCTCTAAGGCCAAAACTGACAAGAAAATAATAAAATGTGTATACCATGAAACACTCAACAAAGAAAAGCATTTCACTCCAGTTAAAAGTCAAAACAAAAGAATAGGCAGTTAACAGATTATCAGAGATAGAGAGAGATAATAGTCAGTGAACTCTTACCCCATTGGGAAAGAAACTAGAATACGTGGCATTCCACATGGAAGGACGCTGTTCAGTTACAACCAGCTTTTTCAAAGACGGGTCACCAATAACTGAATTAGCATTAGTCTCCATCTGCAGATAAAGTGAACCCACATTTTTTACCAATTTACCATGACATATTATGAAGAATACCAACCTAATGTTTCACAATATTAACAGCTTTCAACTAAAAGCAGGGAGTAATTAATCTACTAGTGAGGGAGTATTAATCTGGAATATAAACAAAATGTATTTGAAATAATCTACTTTTATGTTTATATTTAAATTTGAAGGTAGTAGAGCTCAATTATATACCTTCAAATTCCTTCCTGAATGCAGGTTGTAAGGGGCGGTCTGAAACTGACGATACCCTCGGTTTTCTTTGGGTTCATGTCCTGGAGTTGCTATGCCTAAATTGAGGTCAAGATTGTGACTGCCACCTGTGTTAATGATAACTTAAAATCCCTTTTACGTTGAACAATTACTAATACTATACTAGTTTCTTTAATGAGTTAAGGTAGTAACTAGTCAAGGTCAAATATGCCAGAAAAGACAATGCTATGAAATTCTACCTTCATTGATAGGTTTGATCTCACTTTCATATGTACTTGGCTCAAAGTTTGTCACAGCCTCTCTCCCATTACACTTGATAGCTGCCTTGTCATAAGCCCTGATTTCCACAAAATCAAAATGAAGGATACATGTTGGTTGGAATTTGGAACCCAAATGAGGTTTGATAATCAAGTGTAGTAAATTCAATTCATTATGTAAGAATATAATTTATGTATCATAAGGACCTTGCAGCTTCTACTTCGCTGTCGAATAGCCCAAGATATACATACCTGCACGAAATCATTGCAATATCTATAACAACAAAAACACCTTTGCCAATTGTTTCTTTGAAACTGGCATCTTAGTCATGTTTCTCCAAACATGGAAAAGGCCTAAAAAGCTGAAAGCGAAACAAATTTCCTTTCCTTTTATAGGCCAACAGGAACTTGAATTCGTATTCATATCATACCAAATCCTATAATACAACAAAATCAATAGTTCAGTTTCAGATTAAGTTAAAAGTAGGTCCTCACTTTTTTCCAAGGAGTTGTCCCATTCGAGCTTCCCAACGACCACATTTGTGAAGTGTTACTCCTCTGTATTTTGAACTCCCCCTTGAAAAACCATTACTGTGGCGACGCAGTATGTGCACAAATTCCTCCTTTGAAAGATTCTTCATCTGTTCATCATACAGTAATGAATAAATAAAAGGTGAAAAAAGTCACACACTTCATTTAGATATAGCTTCAACAAAATTACTATACCAAACATTCACATATAAATCTATTGATCAAACAAGTTCGCAAATCATAACTCAACTGACAAAAACTGATATTATTAGATTAATCACCATCATCTAAATCCGAATTCATTATGTGTATGAGTTCTTAGAGATTATTACCGTTTCTTTTACCACCAACAAAAAAATCTATTAATCAAAAGGTCTTTTGGTTTTACAAACCTGATTCATATCTTCTTCATACTCAACTAGATTGAAATTAATGTCAGCATCAAGTCCCCTGAACTTTATAGCAGCTCGATCATAAGCTCTGAATTTGAAATTTTCAAAGTCAATGAACAATGACAGCAATCATTATATTAAAATCAAGTGAAAGGATTTTATTAAATTTATGCAGAAACTTTACCTAGCAGCAGCATGAGCAGTGTCAAATCCACCTATAATACCAAGTACCAAATTCATAAAAAATTCCAAAAATAGAAAAGAAGCATATATTAATTAAATACTTTTAACATAAATGAAATTATTTAATCAAATTCAAAAATCCATACCCAAATAAACTTGCTTCCCACAATCCCTACATCCAACAATTACAAAGACAACCAATAAATAAAAAAAAGTTAGATACTATTACTATTATTATTCAATTCAACTAAATTAAAAATTCACACCAAATTATAATTACTTATAATTTCCAAAATTAATCAAGAAAAAAAAAAACAGAAAGGCTAAATTAGTAAATTGAACACCGTGAAGTGCACGAACCAGATATGCGATTCCCATCTTCCAGTTCTTCTGTAGAACGTGACTCCTCTGTACTGAGAGCTTCGAGACCTTGGTCCTCTCCTACTCTTCTTCACCTGAGGCCGTTGCGGAACCAGAGCAACTCCATTTTCACCTCCAAGATGACGATCAAGTGAAAGATCCATCACGCTCTTCCTCGCCGGAATCACCATCGGCGAAGCCTCTCCCTGCGGCCAGTTCCCCGTACTCACCGGAAAAAGCTCTTTCGTCGCAACAGCTTCGTTTCCTTTTTCCACCTTAAGTATACCGAATTTGAAGGTGAAAACATCGCCGGCGCGTGTTGAACACGAGTCTTCATCTCCGGTGATATTACTCGACCCCTCCGCATTCACGATTGACGAATTCGAAGTACCGGAAGAAGCTTCTGGAATTTTTTCCAGTAGCATGATTGAATCATCATCATTCTGAGTCAAATCATAGTTCAAATTAAGATCTAACATGATGCTTTCTTACTCTTCAAGATATTATTACTCTACTATTATTTTTCCTTCTACTAACGTTTCTTCAGTGGAATAGAACTAAAACGATCAAACAAACTCAGAGTTAGAAGTTTCTTCAGTCGTGAGAGTTCGCCGGAGAAACTCTCCGGCGACCGGGAAACGGCGGGGAATCGGAAAGATAACAAACTATGAGGTTTGAGTTATGGATTATTCATAGTCGCATTTCATGATTTCAACGGTGGAGATTTAAGAACCGGCAAGTACCGGAAGCCATGAGAGAGAGTAAGAGATGAAAGGAAGCTAACGGAATGGTTAGAAAGAGAAGATGGAATATATACACATATTTTCTCTCTCATGGTTAGAACCGGTTGGTTCGGTTACCGGTGAGTAACTAATATTGCTAAAAGGAAACAAAACAACCGTCCAAAAGTACCGGCCTAGTTTCTTGTTATAGGAGGCAATAAAAGTTTTATTTTTAATTTTATTTTATTTATGAAGAGAAACAATAAGGGATTTTTGTTATATATATGGTGGAGAAAACATCATGTGATTGATATATATGGTGGTAGTAATAGGATAGATGGAATTTTATATTGTAGTACTATGGGACAGCATTGCATCAAATTGTATAAGTTAAAAATAGTGTTCTTTCTTATTTGACAGAGATAAAAATAATGTTTAAACGTGTCCTATCTCTTAGGTAGAAATATATAATGCTTACTTAAATTTATTATATTAAAATACCATGATTAAAATTTCCCACAATGATTACAATATTGTGATTTAATGTTTGTTTGAACCCGTAATATTTTATTAGGGTCGATGCAACATGCGACAAAATTTAAAATTAAATATTTTTAATATATTAAAAATATAATTTTAAAATTAATATATTTAAAATATTTTAGAATTTAAATTATTAAATTATTATAATCAAATTCATTTTATCTAATAATAAAATTAACTCATCTAAATACTCAACTCATTATTAAAAAAATATAATAGAAAAACAATGCTAAAATTATAGATATCAAGTCTTTTATTTTAAAAAACTCAAAAATGTATTATCTATACCTATTATTTTTTAAATCAATTAATTTAACTCTTAAATAAAAAATAAAAAATGTGAGGCCCTAGACAGTAGGACTGACCCTGCATTTTATTTTTTTGATAAAAATGTCTTACATGTTTGTGCGATGATAAATGATACTCTCTCCGTCTTATAAAAAGTGTTTTATTTATATTTTTTTGTCTCAAAATAAATTGTTCTTGCCGAACGATCAAAATCTGAGATGGGTCAAAGACGAACGTCTGTGATGCTGAATGTAAAAGAGGAGGAAGGGGTGTACCTGCAAGGCACTCCGATGATAAAGTAAGAAAACGAGCAAGAGAGCGAGCAAGTACAGAATATGCGTTTTTAAGTAAGAAATTGGATATCTGACCCTCTCAAGTGAGAGGGTTTTTATAGTGCCCCTAGCACTTGACCATTGATCCCTATTTTCGGGGCGAGATAGCCGTTTCTTGAAGAATAGGTAACTGCCAGAAATAGAGTTACGTGCACAAGCGTCTTGGCTGTTTTTGGATGGTGGAACCGTGCGTGAAGGGCAGAGATGGATGGGGAGAAGTGATGTGACAAAGGGTAAATAGGTCAGCTTCCCCTGTTGGAGGGACAAAAGGGTAAACTCTCCCCAACGAGGTTGGACTTAGGGAATTGGATCGTTCTGAGAGCAGAAGTGGATTGGGTCATGCCCAACCATTGGGCCAGTCCGGAACAGTAGCCCCCCAAGTCGTTGCTACAGGGCATGGTAGTGATGACTTAAGGGTGGCCTGCTCCCGGGCAGAGTCGTCGTACATATCCTTGTGTTTGGGTGATCACTTGCTCGTGGCCGTGGGGCCGGGGATATTGAGACCCGGGGAGCCCAACAATTGATAGGATTTGAAGAGTGGGGATGCCACGTGTGCCTCGAGCCGTGTGCTGCATTAAATGCGAGATGATGGCGAGGCTAGGGTCATGATGATGCCCTGTGCGCGCGTGCTCGCGCACGTGCCTGGGGCCTGCTTATAAATAGAGAAGGAGTCCGTTCATTCATAACTTTTACTTCCTTCTTCTATTGTGCTCGTTTCTGCAACCGTTGTCCGCCACCGCCTACTTTGCTCTGACCACCGTACGAGGTACGACCAGGACCGTATTCCCTCTAGTTCATCTTCCTCGACCACATAAGTACTTCTATCCATTGTTTGTTTTCTATTTTTCTTTGTTTAAACGCCTTAGATTTCATGTGGTTAGGATTGAACATCTTAGTTAGAGCGTATTTAATGGTGGTGCCGATGGTAGATGGTGGCGCGACCAACTGTCTTTCGTCGGTGGTGTAGTCGCCCTCTTTTAAGAGGGGTAGGTTACCACCCCTTAGATTCAGGTGATCCATAGTCACGTTGTTATTAGGTTACTATGACTTCTGGTGGTTTCCCTAAAAGGCCATTGGGTTTTGTGACCGGGGGCTATCCCTTAATGTCTTAAGTAGAACAGTTTGGGACTTCCCCACCTGGGTAGCTGTGCCATTTGAGTAGGGCTTAGGTTGGGAATGCTTTTCCTCGGCCCTTCGTGCGCCCTTTCACTTGACTAGCAGTGGAATGGTGGATTTGATTTGGCCACTGAATTCACTGTTTTCCTCTGCTTTTCAGTGGAAACTGTTCAAACCTTTCTCCGAATCCATCCGGACATTCAAGGAGAGGTTTTTTTATGATCGAGCCGGTGTCGGAGGTGGCCACTAATTCAACGTTTGTCTAGGAGGTCTCCACGGATGAGAACGGGGAGGATTTGTTTGATGAGGAAGGAAAGATAGTTGCTTGGAGACTTTTTACTTTTCCCTTTTGCTGGAGAGAGGCTCATTTTACCCGCCCGACCGATGAGTATATAGTCGCCCCTCACCAACTCACAGAGGACGACAGGGTCAACTATGCCAAGCTGGTGGCCTACGTGGATAACTTCCTCCCTGCCCAGTGCCTGACTCGTCCAGGGAGAATTTTGTACGAGGAAGACAGTGGACTGTAGGTGGAAGCCCGACACATCAACACAAAGGAGCTCCTCGAGTGTCGTACCCGCGAGGAGGCTCTTGAGCTCTTGGGTAGTTGTCGCTTTTCTTACATTCTGCCCAAAATCTTTATTTTTCCATACTTATGTGTTTATTATTTTGCAGGTAAAATGCCTTTGTTGCAAGAACGAATGATGAAGCATGCCCTAGGGAAGATGAAAAGTGCTGCTGCCCTGGGTAAGAGTCGTCTTGGCCAGCGGAAGGTTCCTCCCACAACTGGCTCGGGGACCTCCTCCTCTACTCCTTCGCCTATCCAGACATCTCCACTTCTCGTGAGCTCCATGCCTAAACGTCCTCAGGTGGACAAGGTTGTGGACCTCAGTCGGGAGTCTGGTAAGACTAAGTACAAGTTTCCCCCCCTATTTTCTCGAGAGGAGGTTTTTCAAAGGGGCCTCCCTATCCGTTCCTCGAGCGGAGTCTCTGAGACACGAGGAAATGGATTGTTCTTCTAAGAGGGCCAGCCTTTCCCAGGATGCCTCTGCCTTAATGAGGGTCTTGGAGATGGTCGTGGTCTACGCCGAGGAGCCCGCTGGAGCTGAAGTTGAAGAAATCCCAGGCCACGGTGACGGCCCTGGAAGAAAAGGTTAAGAAGCTCCAGGGGCTCCAAGAGGAGAAGGAGAAAGAGCTTCGGGATGTCCGTAAGAGCCGCGAGGAGGCGGTCTAGGAGAGGGATGCTGTGACTTCCAAGCTGAAAGCCTCTAAGGACCTAGTGCAGAAACTGCAGGCTGCGGTTGCCCCTGCCGAGGATGAGCCCGAAGAGACGAAGCAGCTAACGACTCATTCAGAGTTGGTTTCCCGGTTCGTCCAAGCTGCTGATGACCTGGTGGCTATCAGCGAGAAAGCCTTCTAGAATGCGGTGAGTCAGATAAAGGTGGTGAACCCGGGGTCGAGCTGACAATCGAGGGTACTGGGTTCCTTTATTCGGTTAAGGATGGCCAGATAGTCGTTCCCTAGTTCCTTAGGTTCGAAGCCGATGAGGGTGAACAGGGGCAAGAGCCACATGAGGACATTCAACCCGAGGAGTAGTTATGCTCGTTGGCCAACGTGCCATTTATGTAATTTTCTATTGTAATATTTTTTTTTTTGGGGGGGGGGGGGGGGGCATGCCCCCTTTTAATTGTATCATGCACAATTGCTGTCCTTCGTGGTCGCTTAAATTATATGTACGTACATATGTAGCATATCCGCGTTTTTATATGTTTATGTTTTGCTGAAAATTTCCTAAGTGTTATGCACCGTCCAATGCGTTTGTTAGAAGCACTTAGTCATATGTTATGTTGGATATTTCCTAAGTGTTCTGCACCGTCAAACGCGGTCGTCAAGAACACTTGATTGTACGCTATGTTTTGGGTCTGCTCGACGGGTGATGTTCGACAGTGTGAGGGGCTGATCGAAAGACCTGGGTTGTTTCCGGGCAGGGAGAAACTCAGGTCACAATCGTGGACTGAGTCTATGGCGTGAACCTCCCATCGCGAGTTAGGGGTTCTTCTGTTCACGGTACCATGTCAACGGCGGGCTCGGTCGAGGAACCGCCGTCGAGCATGGTTAGGAATTTTTTCCAGACCCTTGCTTAGATTCTTTCGGCGGTGCATCGCCTGTACCTGGGCGTGCAACCTTTAATCGTACGTCGTGCCCGATGCTTGGTCTGGGCACATCGACGACGGGGGCCTTAGCTGTAATATTGCTTCAGCTTTTCGGTGTTCCATGGTTGAGCTAATTCTTCCCCGATTAGGTATTCTAGGTAGTAGGCCCCGTTCCCTATCTTCGCTCTGACGCGGTAGGGTCCTTCTCAATTTTGCGGCGAGCTTGCCATCTTGGGGATCTTTGTGATTCCTCCTTAGGACGAGGTTGCCTACGTAGAATTCCCATCTGATGACCTTGGTGTTGTGCCTAATCGTTATTTTCTAT